CGGGTACTAGTCGTTCTCGCATTTGTGCTGCTGCTTCCGGATAGGCCAAATTAACCAGACGACGAATGTCGTTTTCAAACTTGTAGGCTTTCTGTAGCTTTTTGATGCCTTGTTCTTAGTTGTACCTGGTAAAGCAGCCTTCGGTGTTCATCTACATACCGGCGCTCTAACGTATCGACAAGACAAGCACACCATACTTTTGTTGGGCGGAAGAGCTTCTAATAAATCCATCGCAGGACCAGGTAATGCTACAATCAACCCTGTATATAGCCATGTCATTTTTGCTAAAACTGTCATTGATACAGTCTCGAATTGACGTCTGTACATGGCCCACGATGTCTGTTCGTCATTATCATATTATTCGTATAATTATACAGGGTGTCTGGAAAATAGCGTAAAAGCTCTTCACTACGTGGTGGAGGACTCCCAGAAAAATAATTTAAAAAATCTGGTGGAATTTTTGAAAAAGTTATCAGCATTTTAATGTTTATTAAAATTGGCAACACTGAAAATATCCCGTTGGCAATTTGTCACAGAATTAAATTGAATATCTGTGTAATTACCTGAAAAATTCGAAGGTGACTAAAAAAATGTTGTCAGATCAATTTTTCCCGTTGTAATTTAGAGATTTTGCAATTTTCATGATGCGTTTCAAACGTTAACAACAAATTTTTATAAACCATTATGTAATGAATTAACAAAAGATACCTAACACTTTGTACGAAATATTGCAATTTGAAAAAAAAATCAAAAATAAGGAAGTTGAATTTCCACATTTACCTCTCCATATTTCCAAGAATGGTTGAGGAGGATTTTTTTAATTATTTTTCCAAGGTTATTCAAAGGGTCCACTACTACGTACTGGAGAGCTTTTACGCTATTTTCCGGACACCCCAATATAAAAATGGCGGCCATATTGGTTTTATAGCAAACAGGCCACCAGAGGTCGTGCACAAGTTGCTTATGATGATTTCTTGAAACCTTAAGACCATACATGAGACTATACCAAATTTCAGAAACTTGGAAGAAAGTCCACGATTCTTATGAATTTTCAATAATTCAAGCTCCGCTATACCCTGGAGCAGACATTTATAGTGACCATAATCTATTTGTAATAAACTTTAGACTCAAAAGATTCCTAAAAATTGAAAAAGAGAAAGTGGCAAAAAATATAGACGTCGTACAAATGAAAAATCTCAAAAGAAAGAAATAAATAAGCCTCCGGTACAGAGAGAGGACGTTGAAGGAATATATGGAATGCTTGAAAAACGAAAATAACAAAGATCCAAGAAGAAGACATTGGACGAAAAACTACAGAAATCAAGAATGGATAACACAAGAAACCAAGGACCTCATGAATGAAAGACGAAAACACAAAACAAATCCAACACAATACAAGCAACTAAATAAAATCCTTAGGAAAAAGTGCAGAGAAGCTAAAGAGTACCTACTAAATGTCAACAAAATGTCAAGAAATTGAACAACTTCAGGAAAGATATTACACATTTAATATTCACAAGAAAATAAAATCGATTACAGGCAGACACCGAAAGCGGCAAGAAACAATCTTAAGTGGTAGGTAGGTAATATAATAACGAAATAATTCTGAGGACAGAAGACAAATTTGCTAGATGGAAAGAATAGATCCAAACACTTTTCGACGATGATAGACCGTTGTTTCACCACCTAAAAACAATCAAGAAACGGTCTGGGAGCGCGAGAAGTATTTTTGCCTCAAACGGAATGACACAACAATGCAGAAACATGAATGTAGATGTAGATATATGCATGTATCATAGACTACCGAACTGCGTTTACCACCAAAAGATGATAGATAGAAATCCTTAGAACAACCAGGGTCGACAACCAAGAATAAAACGTTATCTCAGAACTCTGTTGGCACCAAACGGCAACAGTCGAAATACAACATCGGAACATAATATGTGGATCTGACGCAGACTCCGACAGGGTTGTGTCTTGTTTCCACTCCTGTTTAACCTGTATTCAAAGTCCATATTTAGAGAAGCACAAGATGAGGACCAAGGTTGAATTGAGATTAACGGAACTCTGATAAACAACATTAGGTACGCTGACGATACGATACCGTCCTTATAGCAAATAACGTACACAAGAGCTGCAAAATTTAATAAATTCCGTAAGCCGTCATAGTGAAATATTCGGCTTACATCTAAACGTCTCCAAAACCAAAATACTAGTCTTCTCAAACACACCTGCGCTGGGACTCTGTAACGAATAGAGATACTTTCTCTATCTTCATTGACGTTCCCTCTCTATTGATTTCGAAAAGAGAGAAAAAGACAGCAAGTGCCCTAGCGATAGGGATAACGATCTCTATCCGTTAGAGAGTACCAGCCCAGTAGTCAGACATCTACATGTCAAGGGACCAACAATAGAACAGGTATCCTCAATAAAACATTTGGGAGCGAATATCAATAGCCTGTAATCCGAAAAAAGATATACCATCAAGAATCAAACAAGCGAGAAAAACACTCATAAGCATGAAAATATTTTCCACAATCACAAGATCAGACCTTAGTCTAGAGCTCAGAACTTGAATGGTCAGATGTTATGTTTTTCTCTTTCCTACTCTATGGATGCGAAAGTTGGACAATGGACTCACAAACAGAATAACGAAAAGAGGCTTTCGAAATGTATATATTCAGACGGATGGTACGAATTTCGTGAATCACGAAAGAGGAAGTACTCTGAATAAGCAAAAAGAACTGTGTTGAAAGGTACGTGATGAGAGGTGAAAGGTACGAGCTATTCCGACTGATAATAGAGAGTAAAGTACAAGGTGGAAGATCAGTTGCCAGATGCCAGAACTCATGGCTAAAGGATCTGGGAAGATGGTTTGACCGATCATCTACAGAAATTTTCCGTGCTGCCGTTTCCAAAGCATCCTTCAGAGGGAGAGGGCGAAATAAAAAAAAATCTTTTGGTTAAAGAAAAATTCAAATCCAACCAAGTCGTGGTGCTGTGAGGTCGATAAGAAACAACGAATAATTTGTTTTATTTTTGAATTTGATGAATCTATACATCCCTAATCTAGCTTCTAATCTAGGAGGTGGAAGATGATGCAGTTGTCTCCTCTGAATCAGAAATGTTGAGTTTTAAATTATTCTATATTTAATAAACTGGAAATAGTTTCAACTATGAATAATTTGGTCGTAGTACCATATGTCTATGCCATTTCCAAATCCAAGCGGCAGTAAATGTTAATAACCTAAATTGTAAACAAACACCAGCCTTCCTATTGGTTGAAACGCCCTACCTGGACCCAGTACGCATGCACGGAGGATATTTGATAGGTTGTAATGAAAATGACCAGTTATGTCATTACTGCCGCTAGGATTTGGTTTAACCATAGCTTCCAAGCAATTTTAAATTAACTCTGAGTCACTCTGTATATCTCACATGGAGACTCAATGGTTCAACTAGAACAAAATAGAAATGAGATACTACAGATTTTTTTTTTTAAATTCAAGATTCTGAATGGTCTCTGGCGAATCTGGATTTGATTCTAGTGAATGCACTGTCATTAGAGTTCATGACTGATCTTTATTGTGCAGATATGATTTTAAAGCATCGGTTCATAGTATCCTTCGTAACGTTTCAACCGTAAATCTATTTAATTTTGATTGTCAGCCCTAACAAATTAATGTTTGCTATTTTATTACAATAAATTGGGACAACATTAGAACAAGTTCGAGGCTTGACTAAAATTTCAGTTCTCTTGTCATTATTTTTCAGACCGGAAGCCCCTGGGATGATGTATATGTTAGGCGAACACACATTATCGAGCTTATCCCATTATTAAATGATCATAGTTTTTGTCATATCATAGCTTATCAAAAATAATTATAGCTGTTATCAAAGTTTGATATAAAACAAAATTTCATAATTGCTTCCGTAGTCTTTACTTTAATGCAATTGCTTATCAGATAACTATGTTTCCTTTTTTGTTAACAATGCCTATTGTATATTGTACCTATACAGGGTGCCAGCTAATTCGCTGATATCAGTTGCAAAATATCAGCTTGCGCTCTGAATGTCCTGGATGAAGTTTTTGAACACGTTGAAATTAGGAATCTTGATAGTATTTCTTTAGAATTTTTCGAAATCCCGATGCAGTTATCCCACATTGGGTGACATTGGGGGGTAATAAATCTTATAGAGTAGGTATACGTGCTCTTGATTAACTTGTGATCAAACATTTATTTCAATATTTGTATTCTTGTCACGATATTTCTCTCGCCTTTTCGACACAGATCCAAGTTGCCCTTATTTTTTTCGAAATATTTTAAAAGGGTTCACTTCTTGGGAAATTTCTTTCGGGGTACAATTCAGCATATGTTTGCACCGCATTATCAACATTTCTATAATGCCTAATTGATACCTACGTCACACAAAACGCACCATTTCAGGATTTGGTACTTGAAATTTGCAAATAAAAAATATATGTATTTGTTACAACTGTTTAAGCCACACTCGTAGATATTTTTAATTATAAATATCAACGATTAATATTAGTGTTATCATGAAATTGTAGTTCTTTTATCTTTAGCGTCATGACTCATGGCATGACGTAACTGGAAACAACTTAAAATAATGTTTTGTACTGTTTTCCGATTTTTAGACCATCATAGGTTTTTGTATAATTTAGTATTACAAAGAAGGAAATAGTTATTTATGCAACTAGTATGTAAAGTGTCAATTATGGACTGGGAGATTTGTTAAACGAGCCGCAGGCGAGTGTTAAAAACTCAAGGTGTCAAAGAAGAAACTCTTATGAATTTCAAAAGTACTTAAGTACTTATAGCTGGCTTATAAATTATATGATTATAAGCACTTTTTTAATCTGAATATCGATTTTTATTTGTCTGTCTGATCATTGTTTCCAATTTAATTAACAATTTAGAATATTCGTTCTCTGTGCATGCTCTTCAAAACACTGAAAAAAATAATGTAGTTCTTACCTAAATTTATATTCTCTTATTATCCCTGGCAGCTTTCTCAGACTCCTTGAGCCTGTTAATAGCATGAACAGATCCGAAAAGTACTTTCGCAGTTACTTGAATGCTCCTCTGTTTGGTACCTGGTAAGTTGCTGCTTCTGCTGTGGTTATTATTGACAGGTGCCGGGTAAGTGTTGTTGTTGGCGTCCCTAATGGTCATTGACTTGCAGTTTTCAGGCATGATTGAGGACGTTTTTGATGGTAAGAGAGTCTGAATTTATCTGGAATTGAATTGACAACATAAATTTGAGGAAATTGCCAAAGAAAAAAATTGCTAGATATCAAAAAACTAAATTAAAGAAATAGATACCTACACAATATAATATGTAATACCTATAGCTTCCTAATAATAATACCCCAAGCTAAAAATTTTTTATTCATAATGGTCATAGAAGCCATAATTAGTCAAAATTGAATCATTTTATTATGCTTAATTATGGCTCTAGTAAATCAATAAATAAAACACAAAGTATATAAATCCAAAGAAGTACACTCCATCAAATCTCTGACCTACTTACCTAGTAAAGACCAGATATGGGTCGCATGTCCGTCTCGTCTGTCTACGCTTCTCATGCGTATCCTGCTGCACCAATTCTACTTCTTGTTCTCTTATTTTGTCCTTCCGAAGAAAAACAGCTGAGCCGTCGACTTCCTGGTGAAGCAGGTTACGTGGTTAGCACACCGACACACTGACTGAGTAAACCCACTCGGCCAAAGCGAAGGCACTGTGTCAGGGGGGCCACTCTCTCTTGATCTTTTAGCGGTTTGTGTCGTGTCTTTGGGCTTATCTGCATTTTATTGGTACGATTTTTTACCGGGTCTTTGCTGAAAGTACTTCCACGGTTAACAAAATGCAATGCAGCACAGTACCTACACAGTTAATGGGAAGTACTTTTCAGTATTATTGACCATCAGGTGTGCTACTATTCTGGTAATATTTTTATTGGAGTCAAACTTCTGAAAATGATCGTTGCCAAATATAGCCTACGTTCTGTGATTAGTGGTAACATTAGATGAACATCATCTTTAATTATTACCTAATTGAATTTCATGTGTCGGAAACCTGAATCTTCAATTCCGAAAACATTATAGAGAGTAGGTATATTGTTTTCGATCGGATGAAGATGTACAAAAGTGACCTTGATTTATGCTGCGTAATAAAGAATCCCAAAGAATATAATGACAAAAGGTACAGGGTCAGCTGACGCAAAACAGTAGATGGATCTAGACCGGAAGGTCAATAAACATTCCTCGTGGAGCAGTTCATTATTGGGGTTCCATGGGTAAAACTAAATCAATCAGTCCCGTCTGTGAAACAGAAGGGAAATATTGTAGAGTAACTTGGTTAAATCGCCAGATTTCTAGCATAGTGGCGCAATAGCATCAATGTTGTGATCGTATTTCATTGCTGGAGAACTCACGGAAATAAGTCAAAAAGTTTATGTCAATCTCTGGGAGAGATATTTTTCTATAGTTTTGAAATAGGCCAACCAACCAGAAGAAGCTTGCACAGGCTCTAACAGGAAAAAAACAAAACGAGTGGCTTTTGTGATAGGGGATTGCATTCTGAGCGAAAAATTGATTCAGTTTTCAGAGGAAAACAGTTTGGTCTTTACAGACACATGGTATAAACTATCCCCTAGGCAATTTTATACCTGGGAATCGCGAGACAATAGTCTACATATTGACCGGAACCAGATATAATTTATCACCAAAATCTTGTTAACACTGCTAATTTGCGATTGAATGAGATCAGAATACGGACAACATCTTGACATATAACTTTCCAATAGCCTTACATCTTCTCATAAAAATCAAACAACACATGAATTTAAAGAAAGGACGAATTACTTAAATAAATGAACGACCAGAGACATACTGGAATTGATGATGGCAAAGACACTATAACATGCAAAACGACATTCACGGTTACCGAAACATTCAAAGGAACATTCGCAACGGAACAAGAACTAGGGTGGAAAAGTGCTTGTCATTTCAGGGATGAACAATATGAAAACTGCTGTAAACTTGGAGATCTTATACGGCTATCGTATTTCCCGACGACTGACGGCAGAGCCGTCCATTTTCGGTCAACAACTCACCATCTTTATCAAGTATATCGGAGAAGTCTTTACGCTATCAAGTTATCAAAAACCAACAAAAAAACTTCAAGGTCAGACAACATGTCGGAAACTGCTCGATAACTGAATATAGAAGCGTCGGTATAGAGTTATTTAAATTATACTTACGACCCTGTGAACCTTTTGATAAATTAGCTCCGCTTCATATTTATGTATTTGAGGTTAGGTTGCATGTAAACAAGCAAATTTTGCCCTAAGTCATTTTGTTAATTTCATCTATATAATCAATTTACTTTTTGCGAAAATATAGCTGCATACTTGAAGTATAGAAGTTGGTTAATGCAGTTCATACCAAACTCGTGCAAAAAGTTTGGGTAAGTGAATGTTGGTTGTTGATTTGGAGGTTGTGTTTTGTGCGGCAAATCGGCAATATGAATACGAATTGTACTCTTTGTTCCCTCTATTTGGGCAATTATGACCAGTGGCGCACCCAGGTTTTTTATTTGGGGGGGTTTTCATAATGATGAAGGCTCACCGCATGCAAGCGCTGCCGTAGGCAGGCTGCCATAGGAAGAATTTTTTTTCGGGTGTCACGCCCAAAAACGTTTATTTTAAGCCTTCAAAAAATAATTTTTTGTAAGTGATTGTATAGTCAGAGCTGGGCAACATGCGAATAATGATTCCACATGCAGATGGATCAAGTCCATGCTTAAACACCGGACTATAAACTCGACTATTGCCGAAACCTCTATTAAAGGAACCGCGACAAAGGGATGACATAGTCGTTGTCATTAGGGGAGGGTTTACCAAGACGGTATCAACCCTCATGCAGGACGCCTTAGGAATCATTGAGGAATGTTGCACGAGGGAGCAAACTCGCGTCAACTCCTCCAAAACAAAACTCATTCCTTTCACGAAAAAAAGAAATCTGGAGAACTTAATCGCCCCCAGTCTATTCCAAAAAGTCTTGGAGTTTGGCAGGGTAGCTGAATTTCTAGGCATCATCCTAGATATGAAGCTGACATGGAACCAACACATTCAAAAGATAACCACCAAAACAAGATGACGTTGATGTCACTAAAAAGAGCGATTGGGAAAACATGGGGGATTAAAACCGTCAGTTGTACATTGGAAGTACACTACGGTTGTGAAACCAATGATAACATATGGTGCACTTGTTTGGTGGCCTAAAGTAAACCAAAGACAAGCAAACCTGGAGTTTGCCAAAATCCAGAGACTTACGTGTCTTTGTATTATCGCTACACAGAAAAGCACACCAACGGCAAGTATGGAAACGATCCTAAACCTCCCACCACTTGACCTTATCGTCAAAGCGGAGGCTAGAATCGGGGCATATCGTCTCCAGCTGAACGAAACCTGAAACCCAAAACCAAATGGACATGCAGCTATCACCAAAATAATCACAAACCCGATTTTAACCATGGGTAGCGACTATATGATGCCGAAAAAATCCCTCGAAACACCCTTCGTCATCGAGATTGTCCCAGTAGGAAGCACCGGGGCAGCACCCAAACAAGAAATTGTCTGGTTTACTGACGTCTCCAAAACAGAAACTGGAATCGGTGCTAGAATATATAGACAAACTTCCAGATGCAGCATTAGTCAACCCCTGGGAGAATACACTATTGCATTCCAAGCAGAAATATATGCCATCGACTCCTGTCTGAGAGAAAACCTAATGAGGGGATACACAGGTAAAACATCCTTATCTGCTTAGACGGTCAAGCGTCGATCAAAGCACTCAACAGCTTTGAAATAAAATCCAAACTTGTCTGGAAATGCTTAGAAAACTCCGAAAACCTAAGTTTGTCCAACAAGGTAACCCTCAAAATGGGTGCCAGGGCATAAAAGAAGGTAAGAATTAAAAAAAAAAAAACCAATGGGTGTATAGACAACATAAAACCTACTGGCAAACTCTTCCGAAGCTCAGACACAGTAAGCTAATGGTACAACAAGCATCACCCAAACTTACTGGAGAAATCCTACAAACTAAACAGGATTCAAATCAAGCTAAAACTGGACTTATAACTGGACACTGTAGCCTGAGAAAACAGCTTCACATAATGGGCATCCTCCAAAAAGAACCCATATGCAGACTTTGTGACGAGTAGGATGAAACCGCCACCCACATAATTTCTGAATGTGAGGCTATACGCTGGTCAAGATACAGACAGATAGGGACAGAAGATCCTATTTCTAAACTCACCAAAAGTAACACGGTGGAGAGGCTCCTAAACCTAATCAAGGTCACGAAACTTTTCACTGATTAAACAGACGAACAGGACAATACAATAAACCGACGGCTACCGTGTTGGGATCACCTAACCCAGCCTGTTCATTCTGCATCTCAACCAACCAACCAACCAACCAAGTGATTGTATAAGTTATGTGTTTACCTCGCTGTTTACTCACCTGAATCAACTTGCTGTCGGAGGCAAAACCTTTTAGGGGTGTCATGTATGGAAAATGGAAACTTTGTAGGTACCTATTAACCAAAATCGCAAAAAAAAATATTTTAACCGGAAAATTCTTTGTACCAGTGCTAAATTTCGGGGGAGGTTTTAACCCCCAAAACCCCCCTTTGGGTGCGCCAATGATGATGACAAGCAGATTATTGCCTGCGACAGCTGCCGCATCCGCTCACACCTAGCAGAAACATGTTCGGGCCTCTCAACTTCTGAATGCCGAGCTGTTGTACTGCAGAAGCGAACACTAATGCATTTTTGTGTTGCATGTCCCATGCAAGAGTGTCCCGCTTATGACAAGAAAATTGATTCAATTGGAGGAAGAAATTGAGGCCCTTACGAAGAAAATTATCATAATCAAGAAGGCAAATTCTACTCCCCCAGTTATGCAGGTCAATACCGAATCTACCATTTATGAAGTTAATGAACGAGCAGTGAGAGCACACAATCTAATGGATATACAGTGTGCCGGAATCTAACTCCTTGAACCTGGAAGAACGCATAACTGATATTAAATCACTGGTCACCGGGGTCTTTAATGAACTCGGCATGCCATAGAATAGTGATATGGTGAAAAAAGTGCTTCGAGTAGGTAAATGGTAAATCTGCTGGTGCCAGTATTAGAGCAAGACCTGTGAAATTGGTTTGTTCCTCTGATGTGGTAAAGTCAGCAATAAAATCAGCGGAAAAAATTGCGTGATTCACCATGTAGGATCTCCATGGATCAAACAAGGCTGCAGCAAGTATTATATGCTACCACTAAGAAGAAACTGGACAGCAGAAAAGCTGCTGGAGAAGACAATTTACTTATTAGGTATCAAAATGGTCTGCCAGTGTCCATTAACTGTCTACTGTCCATTTCCAAAATGTGGCTGATTTTAGGACAAAGATAGCTGACTTGTTAGTGGCAGTGACAGGTAGTGCATATGATATCATAATTATGGTTGAAAGTAATTTAAATCCGAACTATCATGACTGTGAGCTCAAATGTGAAGGGTATACATTATTTAGAAGTGACCGGTCAGCCCGCTCTAAGTTCAGCACTGTGAGTCTGTGGAGTATGTTTGTCATCATCACCCATCTCAAAATATTTATATATACCTATTTGGCGATTGCAACCTGACCAATGCACAATGGTCAAATGACGAGTTTGGAGTGTTGGTTCAGTGCCCTCGAAATAATTCAGCCCTGATATTTGCACAAGCGTTTGGGTATTTAGGTCGTT